TGCTTTTCCGGAACCCGCACTTTATTTCCTTTATTTACAAACGACCAACTGAACACCGTTTACCGCGTAATCAAAGTGGAGTGCACATGCAGAAAGAACAAGGCCACGAATTTCCCAACGATCGTAAAATTTCAAAATACAACCACTAAAGGTAATGCGAAGTTAATAAACTGAAACACCCGCGACACGACGCGAAATCATCATAAAGACAAATACTCAATGGGGTGGAAAAAGTGCGAAACGGTTACAACAAATTACCACACGACAAACCTTAAGGAAATTACTAACGAAGCACGTTCGAGGCTTACATCATCTTTTTAGAGTTGGCTCATTTAAATGAGGAGAACTTTTAATTGACCCTCATTGTGGTGTTTGAACCCGGTTGACCCTACAGGGTGGATGCACATTTAAATTATGAATCTTCGATCAAAACCATTTCATATTCTAGACACACTAATTCATCAACTCAAAGATAATTAAAATTAATACCTGAACGAAACACTCCAATTTTCAAAGACACTCACTCAACTCAAATTACAAATAAAATATTACACACGTTAATAATACTCTTTTTACCTAATTACACAGAAGTTAATTACAGCCCCCACATAGTGTTTAAAATGTCGTAATGCCATTTCACTATAGCTACAACTTCTACAAGGTATCTTTAATGCAATTATACCAATAATAATGATGTGCCAAGGAAACATTACAAGTTCGCCCTCGTTGCGTTGCAGCTATACTCGTATTTAGTAGAATGCACTCACAAGTTTACAAGTTTTACGTACGTAAATGAGTCTCGGCACTAGAATAATAATTGTTGTAATTATTATAAATTTAAGTTTTATAAACATTTCATGTACTCTAATTACATACAAAAATAATAAATGTTATATGACAAGTCAAGAATATAGACGACCTCTTCTCCGCCCTACTGAAAAATAAACATAAACATAAAAAACACTTTTTTCATTCCATTAGACAAATTAGTTAACTTTTCCATTAACCGAGTTATAAAAACAGTAATTTGTATCTTTGTATTTTTAATAAACCTACATACAAATACACACAAATTACATAAATTAATTAATGCAGAATATAATTTATTAACAAAAAAAAATACCAATACAACTTAACTGGTCGATAACATTTTAGAATTTTAAGAAAAACAGTAGAGAAAAAAATTAATTATTTCCTTTCCTATAACTGAAAGACATACGTAATACATACAAAAATATATATTATTTTCCCCCTATTTCTGAATATAAAATATCAATTCCTTCCCCTTACAGAAAAAATATCATTGCATCTACAGTTATGGAAATTTTTATTGCATTGCAGTTTTTCCCCTTCAAACTAAAATTTCAAGTAAAGTATCTCCTTCACTCTCTTGAGATGTAATAACGACCTAATAACATTATATAAAAATATAAAATCATTTATTTCTTGTTACAAATTTTCGATTAAATATAAAACTATGTATTCCGGTTCAAGAAAAGCACTGACGAAACCTTTTAATTCTAGTGAAATGATCCCAATTCGATGAAGTGAATTAGGAAGATATTTACCACAGCACTTTCCCATCGGCCAAATTACCCCAACCCTTCAACTGCGGCAAATTGCTTCTAGTATTCCATTAGTCACGAAACTTAACTTTGTTGAGTAACAAATAATAATTCATAATAGCCAATAAGCAAATTAATTCTCCCCGAAACAAAAAGGAAGCAAAAAATATTAAATTCCCATTTAAAATATACAAATAAAGTAATTGATTCCATAATCAATTTATCAAACCATATCTTTTCCCTATTGCTTTTCTTCCACAAACGAACTTAGTAAAATGTGTTTTAACTTTACCCAATTAGAGCTTATTGTTGACTTAAAAAGTTCAAAGCAATCGAGATTGCACGTTAAGCTAATAAGAAACGAGGTTTATTAAAAAAGTTAAATTTTAATTCTATTGGAATTTTAAAAACTGCCAAACGATTTTGTCTTTTATCTCTACCAACACATAGCAAAAATTATAAATAATTTAAGAGAACAGAGTTAAAAGCTGAGAAACGATATTAAGTTTCCTTTTAATAAATTATCAAAGTGGTGATCTAAAACCTAAAAATTTATAACCCATGTGTTAAAATTTATAACGCAAAATCGATCTGTTCCATTTTTTGCCGTCGCTAAATTCTGGCAAAGCATAAACGTTCTGAAGCCCCAACAAAATGCTTTTAAGATGTTGGTAACAATTCCACATGAGATAAAATTGTGTTTCTGCAGCACAAAGCGGCGCAAAGTTCTTTGAATGAATTTCACTTATCTCGAAGCCTGAAATTAATGTTTCATACAGCACGAAATATAGTTTCTGTTGCAGGTCGGGTAAAGCGGAAATATCGCCATTTCGCCAATTGTCGAGAAGCAAGGTAGTTCCTCGAGAAATTTAGCTCTTGTTAGTGGCGCACCTATCATGTGCTCAGACACATAATATAATAGACTTGTGATGACTTTAGGAACGTAACGACAGTCGTCATTTCCTGGGGAGATTTACCACTTCCATCTAAACACAAACTAGCGACGGTTATTTACAAACGAAGGTTACGCTTGCTCGGTTGCCTTAAACATAATTATTACGCCCTTGGTGGCACCGAAACCAGATGTGTACAAAGCGAGAAAACTTTTCAGTTTATCGATCGATTACTAAACTCCACCTCTAAATAAGCACAACTCAAATTTGCAAAATAATATAAATGGCATCAAATCTTCTCCAAATAAATCCCAAAAAAGCTCTGTAATCATTTATCCCTTTCCATCATGGTTTGAGTGTTGAATTACCCAACAATCGAAAGCATAATGTGTAACTGTTTCCGAATTTTGAGGATTGCGACCAAACGTAGTAATAAAAGATAAGTTGCGTGGAATCGGGCAGTTTAAACAGGCATGAATTTTTAACTTAATCACGAAACGGCGCCGAGTTCGAACGCGGACGGGACCGAGGGGCACGATAAACCATATCAATAATGCATAATGCATGAAAAAATGGTGTATTAAAACATGTATTTGGTGTAGAGACGCTTTGGTAAAATACAAGCAGGTCAGCGCTGAAATCGCAATATCAAAGTCTTTCAATCCACCTGTTACACACTTGCGACCTGATATTAAAACTAAGCCAAAAGAAAAATTCAAACTCACCTCTAAGAAATCCAATTGAAAACCCTGGATAATAATCTCACTGATAACTCCTGAAACAAATAAAGAAATACAAAATAAAATCTTTGAAACGTGTCACGTGATTTTATGGCAAGAATATATTCGGCAGTCTTTGGATAAAAGGATTTTGGATGGACATAAGATAACCTTTAAAACGATGCAAAATGGCTGAATGGCCGTTTTATCAGAACGAAGGAAATTCGATACTTGGCTGAAGCCACTCATCTGAAAAAATCCATATCGTACGACAAACCCGTCAAATGTAATGTAAGTTGCCTAAAATGCAATTACCTACTCAGCCTCGCCCGGCGCATCCACCAATTTTGCACAAGAAATTAAAACACCTCAAAAATATTAAAAAATATTGGCCTTAAAATGTCTCGTCCTATTTTATTCTCACTCCTTTGTAACCGCATTAATGTCAGAGACCAATTCCAAAGTGCTAAGGCGGAGCTAAAAATCGAATTATTTTTACTTCAGCTCTGATACGATTCTTCGGAGACTCATTAATTTTGCTTTACGATTTCAAATAAGGTTTATATCTCGTCCTCACATAAAAATTGTACTGTCGCTAAAAAGTGGTTTTACAGTAAGAAACATGAAGAGAAAAAAAATTGTCAAAAATAGCATTAAAAAACGCAAAACAAATTTATAGTTATCAAGAAAAAAACAGGGTATTCTAATTATGCTACCTAAAAGTACACAAATAAAAAAGAATAAACGCAAACCAAACTTTGCGTTTATTCATTCGAATAAAGCAAAGACAACAGTTACGACACCTCACATTGTCAAAACACCAACAAAGCGTCCCGAATTACGCAAATAACATTAAAATACCTTTAGTATTTTGGAAATATATTCCTAATAACAAAAGACACAAACAATGAAAATACCATTCGGTATTAAATCTGATTTGGAATATTTGAATATACGAATTTAGGACGATAAATCACATCGTTCAGAGTGACCGCCATAAAACCAAAGCATTCCTTGGGGACAAAAAAAGTCCTGACGTCGATGCAAAATTACGTAGATTTCCAAATTATCTCAAATTTGACAATAACGAGTTTGATAAAATCCCTCGATGCAACAATAGACAGTGACAAGTCGAGAGCCGAATAATTTTCATTGGCGTCAACTACATTCATTTTCTGCAAGTTCTTACACCAAGTTTTTCTCAAATGAAAACTGTAATTTCACAACAGCTGGTGGAGGTGTCCGCGCAATATGCGTGTTTAATGCGACTTGAGAATCGAGGGTATCGCGATAACACTAAAATTTCAATTAAGATACTCTAGCCCAAGTCGGGTCTCACAAGGTTGATTTGCAGATACGACGCGAAATATAGCCAACAAAACTCCAATGACTGAAATGAGGGGCTACTAGAACTTAAAAGTTTGCTATTATCCTTGTGTAAATTATACATCTGATGAAACTAATTAGATTTCCTGCTACAATTTAATTTTATAAAAAGAAAATGTTATGGTATAAGGTAGTTTAAATAATGTATTAAAGTTTGGCATTAATTTCAGTATGCAATGGAAATTCGCAGGCAAGTTCGCAAAAGTTGTTGACACACGCCACATAAATTACATCAAAAAGATTGGTGTATTAAAAAAATCATTTTTTTTCTTTCCTTACAACATGTCAAAATTATTATAGTAAAACAAAGATAGCAGAGAAGAGAAATTATAACTCGAAAAACCAAAGAAGCAAGTCGTAATGAAACGTGACAGCTAATATCCAAGGTAATGTCTTTGCTTCAGCTACACAAGTTGTTTATTTTGTCGAAAGTTTCGCAAAGGGTAGAGTTATTTAAGTTTGGAGACACTTCTGTGTCTAATTGTGATTTAATTTGGAATTCCACACTTTCCATATGTATGCTACATTTAATTACACTCTGCACATAAAAGAGAATTTTATTACAAAAAAGCCGTATCTGTTGCTGGCTTAAAATCAACACCCTTGCGGTGCATCTTAATTGAGTGGGAATTTGCTCTCTTGCTCGCTTTGATGCAACATCAACGTTTCGATACAATTTCAAGTAAACATCGTCGGACTCGATCAATTATTTAAATAGTCGAGTCACTCTGTGAGCTACTTTTCCAACCATCATTTTTCGACGACAATATATCTCGTGTGACACATATGAACACCGTGAGGCGATATGGAGGGAATTTGCAATAAAGATTCCGGCCATAACCAGAACAATGCGTTTGTCAGATCTACACCTGTTCAAGCGACAACAGTCATTTGTCTTCGGGCTAGGCTTTGATCATTTAAACATGACAGTTATGTTTGGTCACGTCGTTAGGGTTCTCTTCGGATACCCTCCGGTCTCATTACAAGACCGTCTATGACGTCACGACAATCACCTGCGCACCAAGTCGCATCCATAACTCAATCTACATACCATAAGCGGCCACATCCTGTGCTAAATGACGTCTGGACATGGCTCGAAGGACTTCCTCTGTCATCGTGTGATATGAATCTGCACGTTGCTCACGCTCCAAATCAAATTATCGCGACCGCGTGCGTCTGTATCGCTCTAATTTCTTGTGGGGATTGAGTTAATTGAGAAAGTTTCATATCAATTTTAATCCAGAGTTTCTTTGCTCGCGTGTGCACAATTCCAGATTCATATATTTGCATTGAGACTGGTCGACGGCAAAAAATCAAACAACACTTCAAGTATACTTCTCAACAAGTAGACAAGTAGTTTAAAAACTCCTTGATAATTGTCGCCACTTGACCATTACTTGTTGAGTTTGCCAACTGCTGGACACGGGAAGAAAAAACATTGAAATTCGGAAGTTGTCCTAGACGGAAGCACATTATTTTCTTAGCTAGAGTTTACGAAAAGTTCAAGGAACTAACGAGGTGTGATCACTCAGTTTATTTCAATGGAATTACGAGACCAAGGTCAAAGAATCCATCAAAGCGACAAAAGATTTTTCAATTCAAACCATTGCAAATAAATAATTTGAAACAATTTGACAAAATGTAGCTTTCTATGAGAGCAATAGAGTGAATAAATATTCCGCCCTTGAAAATTTTAAGAAAGAAGGGAGGATAGTCATTCCTCACGCTTCAGATAGGATGTGGTACAACATCACCTTGAGAAATCCACTTCGTAAAAAAGCTACAAGCGAGAATTATGTAGAAGAAGTTAGCCCTACAAAAGCGTGGGATCATTTTGCCTGCACCCTTTACGTTCCAGTCAATTTTCCATAAATCTGAAACCCATCTATTTGAGAGCTAAACCATCCATTACCCAACGGTGTGAAAATTCAATGTACGTAAAAGGATAATGTACTTTAAAATCGAATCAAGTTTATGCTTTAGCATCAAATTCCAATTTTCTCTTTAATTAAAACAGTCCAAATAAAACATCATTAATAATTTATTGTTTTAGTTTAATTTAAATTCCATATTGGATCCCGTAGAACTACAATAATTTAGTTAATTTGTGTCAATAATTAAAATCAAAAATTCTAGCCGAATATAAATAAAGCTGCAATAATACTAAATGTATTTAACAAAGATTCATCATAGTGCCGTGGTCACGAAAGTAATTTGTTTGTTTAGGTTGGACCAACAAACACAGACATAAAGATATCACGTTGCTTATTGGTCATAACTAATTAAAGCAGAGTCGCTATTCTGCAACCAAAATACACAAGCAATGAAAACACGTGCATGCTTATCTCCAAAACCCCTGCGTTCAAAAAGAAACGAGATTACACTAAGTAGAAGAGATGGGAGGGATACTCGCCCGCCTATTTCGTGTAACAGTGTCTACATAAATTAACATATCCCACGACTGAGTGGAAGTGGATTTTTTTATACCAAAGGTTTGCAAATGTGCTCTTTCATGCCTTATAAACCGACGCAAAAATCTAAAAAAAAATCAAAATGTCGAAAAAGGCACAAATCAATCTATAAAAGGTCGACCCGAGTTTTAGCCTTTAAAAATTTTAATAAATTACAGCATCTAGTCGATTGGAATTTACCAGAATAGACCTAACGTTTTAAGCTGGAGGCGAACAGCAATTATAAAAGCACTACAAAACTAATTAATAGCACATATTGGATTTTTATTATTACTCAGTCCAGACTAAAAAAACTCAATTTTATATTTCACTTTATAAACATTGTATTTTATTAAAAACAACAAAAAAAATTTTGATGTCAGTGAAACGGCATAATTTTTTCCTTTGTTTCTGTTGATAAAAGATTAATGATGGAATAAACGAGAAATGGTAGAAAGTATTGAATGGTACGAATAAAAACATAACTCCTCTTTCCTGAACATGAAACAGCCTCATCACTGCAATAAATATGAAATATTACCATTTAACTTTTCGAAACATGAACGGAAAGCAATATTTGTTTTGAGCATAAAAACCGCAACCGAAATGAAAAAAGTTTGGATGGTTTATTGATAAATTCGTCGAGTGATGAAACCTTATCACTCTCGCCGGCAAAAACGTTCCAATTAAAACATGTGGTAGAAATAACAAAACGCTATACTCAGGAGATAAAGGGAGAATACATTAGAGCCACTTTTATTGGAGTTGAGATCCCTAGCGGAGAAGTAATCACTTCCAGAGGAACCCCGCGGGTACCGCGCATTGAACCTCATCGAACGCCACTGGAACACACACCTACACCATCTTCCATAAAGTAGAGTTCCTCCAGAGACGTGCGACGTGCTTGTTTGCCACCTAAAACCCATGAACTTTGAGTATATATCGTAGAAAGATTTTGCAGTGTTGTATCGACCAGGTCTTCCATCATATATAAAATATGATATGACACTTTTAAGATCTCTTGAATGCATCTAAATGATTGATGCAACTCCAATACGTCGTATTAGTTACCGTCTCAATCCCCCAAGTTAGCCTAATTGAAATTTAAAAATTTAAAGCATGCTTAAATCAATAATCCCGACTCTTGCAATTTTAACCAAGACAAGTAGTAAGCCAGCTGTAACGTGTCAATTAGTCTTCCCAGATTAAGACTTATTTTA